GAATTCAAATTTCTGTTTTGAAAAATGAAAAATTATTTGTAAAAAAAACAAAAAAAAACAAGAATTGAAGTAAAACAGTTAGTTATAGGCCTGTTTAAAAAAAAACCAAACAAATGTATTGTCATTTTACAGCTTACATTTTTTTTTAAAAATAGTTTTTAAATATTTAATATACTAGATCTTAGTAATTTTTTTCATCAGTTTAGTAGTTATTGCATGACAATATCTTTTCTATCTGAGCTGATTATTGTTCAAAAGAAATAGACAATAATCCATTATAAAGACAGAAATAGAAATCAGTTTGTATAATAAGCTGTTATAGTAAAATAAAATAAATTTTTGATTTAGATGGGTTTTTTTGTTAAAAATGACGTCATCAAATTGTTTGAGCATTGGTTCAACCTTTGTTTTGATTTTGCTGTGTGCAACTCTTTTAGTTTACAAGTACAGAATCTTCAGTTTACAAGTACGAGAGAAAAAGAGACATATTTTAAGTGACATCACCTCAAAGCCACATTCTATTCTGTACACAATTTGAGAACCATTTGTCCTACTGTCTTGCAATTGCATTAGATGGGACCAGATGTCCTTTTTCAAGATCACAATTTGATGAAATGTGTGGCGAATTCATCCAGTCAATTTATGCATCATTTATTAGCACAGTACGTTGTTTCACTTGACGGACTCATTTTTTGAAATTTTAATAGTTTTTCCCACATATTTGTTGCCATGATTACATATAAATATAACGCCATAAATAACTTGTAATGTTAAGTGGCAGTTAACAATATGAAATGCAGATGGCAGGTAACACAAATCATATCTGTTGTGATAGTTACCTGTGTACCATGGTTTTTTGACTAATCCATATTTAATTTATATTGTCTTGTAGCAGATTGTCCATGTCCTGACTGTGGTCGATTGTGGTTCAGTGGGCCAGCTGACTTAGTGCGTCAAGTGGCTTAGTGGGAAAGCTGGCTCAGTGGGTTAAGTGGCCCAGTGGGTTAAGTGGCTTAGTCGGTCAGGTGGCTCAGTGGGTTGTGTGACTCAGAGGGTCAGCTGGATTAGTGGGCCGGTTGACTTAGTGGGTCGGTTGAATCAATGGGTCAGCTGGCTCAGTGGGTCAGGAGTGGAGATAAAAGATAACTTTGTTTGCCAAAGCTTTGTCTAATGATGCCAGTGCACTGATTAGAACTAACCCAAGCAATGTCTGGTACTGTTGTGCGGTCTTAATAACGTGTATTGTTTCGCTGCTTAACCCATTGTTTAAAATGTATCTTGCAAGCAACGTTGATGTGACCTATTCATGTTTGCTTTTATTTGTACCTTTGAGGGAAAACACCAGTGTTATGTATCGACACAGTTGACCATGACACAGTTGACGATAAAATATATTTTTAAAAATAAAAAGATAAACTCAAAGTAAAAAAAAATATATTTTAAAAAAAAGTGTGTCTTGCTTGAATCCGTTATCAGAGTTATTGTAAGAAAACAGTCTTGAAATATTTTTTTTTTTTTTGAATTAAATGGCTTGATATTTAATGGAAGAATGGAGAATTTTTCGTTAGTTCATTGAATGAGGTTACCAAATTCAAACTTCAAGCTTATTCCTACCTGTGGTTAACTCACTGTGCTATCAGCAGTGTTTGAAGATAAAGTCTGACAATTTAACTTTGGACTAAAAAAAAAAAAAAAAAAAAAAAAAAAAAAAAAAAAAAAAAAAAAAGGAAAGAAAGAAAGAAACTGATTTCATCGATCCAGCTTTAATTATGCTGCCATTCCCGAGATCGTTAATTGATATTTGAAAAAAAAAATTCAATTCTTGAAGAAATACCACCACTCTTGAATCGGACTGAACCATGCAGCTTATCATCTGAAATTTTATATCCTATTTCACTGCTGTATGTGACCAATGTTCAGTGACGACTACTATTTTTGTTAATAAATCATGTACTTCACATCATTGTTTGGCAATTTTGTACTAAGCTAGATGATAAAATGTCATGGTGCCCATGTTCTCCTTCCTTCTCACATGTTATTCTCATTTTTTCTTTTACCCTCTCCCATCACCTCTCCAAATCACACCCCCACCCCCCCCCCAAATTATTATCACTTTTCTACCAGTTTTCCTTTTTTTTCCCCCTCCAAATGGATCCTCCTCCTCTTTTTTGTCTCATCACGTGACACTAAAAGCCTATGCACATTTTGAATGGATTATGTTAACTACATCTTGGACATTACAACAACGTGAGCTCTAGAGCTGCATTTTTATTACAAAGGAGAGTTTTCTAAACATCATGAGATAGTTGATGCTGGCGTTTTACCATTGCATGGCTAAGCATGTTGTCTACGAAATATACGTATATGCACACAGGTATTGTACCCTTTAGTGCACAGAATCAAATGAACTTTTCAACGCCACGCAGAGCTCTGCCATCCCCTGGTTTTGGAATCCCTGCTTATTGATATGATTTTTTTTTGTCAGTCCAGTCTTTTGTTCCTTAATTAAGGGCTAGGTTGTAACAGAAAATTAGTTATAGCCTCAAGTTATAACAGAACATTTGTTATAGCCTCAGGTTGTAACAGAACATTTGTTATAGCCTCAGGTTGTAACAGAACATTTGTTATAGCCTCAATTTGTAACAGAACATTTGTTATAGCCTCAATTTGTAACAGAACATTTGTTATAGCCTCAGGTTGTAACAGAACATTTGTTATAGCCTCAATTTGTAACAGAACATATGTTATAGCCTCAATTTGTAACAGAACATTTGTTATAGCCTCAATTTGTAACAGAACATTTGTTATAGCCTCAGGTTGTAAAAGAACATTTGTTATAGCCTCAGGTTGTAACAGAACATTTGTTATAGCCTCAAGTCGCAGCAGCTACTCAAGTATAATAACATATTTTTCTGGTGGTGGTAGGGGGAGGGTGAGGGGTGGTGGTAGACCCGAAATCTTGATACTATGTACATGCCCCCCCCCCCAAATTGCCCTGTCGTCAATAACTACATCGCATTTCTACGCTACACTATTTCCCTGAGCGCCCGGGGGGGGGGGGGGGAAATAACTTTACAGAAAACACTTTCTGCTCTTCTAACTTCCCCTGCAAATGGTGACAATTTCTGACATAAAAACTTGTTTGAAACTTTAAAAAGAGTTACCAGTGCATCAGTATTGATTGTTGTTGGTGAGGGTACATGTGGTGAGCAAATCAGTCAAATATGAACGTGGTGGCTCCTGTTTGTTGAATCATTGAAACCGAGTCTAACTGGATTTCTCATGATTGTTCTCTGCACCGTGTCAGTAAGCAATGTCTATTTGTGCTGTTGTTGTTTTTTAAGGGATTGATTCGTTGACATGGGTGATGTATTTCATGGATGATCTTTTTCACACGATTTCATTCCGGATATTTCACTAAATGTCTTAGTGATATTTTTCCATGTCATGGATGGATGCAGTCATTACGTCACAGCTGGCATTGTTATCATGCTGTCACGATTGATCCATCATAATAGTGTATGACGATGGCCGTGTGGAAAAAAAGGGGGTGCGGTGCAAAGATGGCTGCCGCCCCGGGCTTTACAGAGCGCCTCCCCGGGCTTTACAGGGCGCCTAAGCTGTTGTTTTTCATGCAAAATATGTTGATTAAATATACTTCTTTTAGGAACAGGGCGCCTAAATTCAGGCTTAGCCCCGGGGTGCAGCTGTTGCATGTCACGGCACTGTGAGTGAGTAGTGTTTGTCGTCGCGTTAAAGTATTTAAAACTGAAAATTTGCGTATGATTGACACGTAATGTCCCAAAATGGATTTTTTATTGAATGTCCTGAGCATTGACATGCACGTCGTGAATGGATGTTTTTCCATGTCATATTATTATGTCAATCCTGGGAGGCTGTATAAAAGGCTTATTTGCTGTATCAATTATTTATAACTGTAGTGCTGCTAGGGACGGTCTATTTATTGTTCAATAATAATAACATTAAAAAATATAGTGATCTATGAAATGAAAGCTGACTTATTTCTTTTCTTTATCCCAATGCTTCCTTTAACGCAACTAGAAATGATCAGAATAGAATTCAGGGAATCTAAAAAATAAAAAAAATAAAATATCACTGATCTCTGGATCTCCAAAGTCCTTGGAATGAGACGAATCTAGCAGCGTAGCCATTTGGATTACGTGGCAGTTGTCTACTGAACCAGTTGTTCCCAAACTTTTAAGTTTGGCTGACGGGTGGATATTTTCCTCACTATACCAGTGGTTCACAAGCTTTTAAGTTTGGCTGACCGGTGGATACTTATCTCGCTGTAGCGTGGACCGTATTATGTTTAAATTACTTTTTATTTCTTAATCAGTCTGTTCGAGATGAGTCTATTATCATGCAACCCTATTTCAATTTAATACTAGTCGTTAAATTTTATTTTTATTTATTTTATTTAATTATTTCGGTTTAAATTATTGTGTTTGTCCTGGCTGTTGAACTTTATTTAACCTGTGTCCAGTTTCGAGTCTCAAGTTGTGCGGACCGGCATCGGTTTTCGGACTACCACTTTGAGAAACACTGCACTACAACTGGGAGCATTTTAGAATGTTGCACGTTTTTTGGCATTTGAATATATCCTGTACTTTTCAATTAAACGTGTCACGTGTTCTTGTACTGAAGCTTTTGCATCAGTGTTTCTATGGACGCCAACGAGGGAGATAACCCAGCCAAATGAAGACAACAGAATAGATAAAAAGTTCTTAAGGATCCTTCCTTCATGGTCATTTAATTATTTGTTTTATTCAGACGTACATACATGTCAAGTGAAAATGTTAGTTTTCTGCAAAAATTTGCCGCCTTGTATTAATCGAATCTAGATTAATGAGAGATGGGGAACGTTCCTAATCAGTGAACAAAAACACACCTTCATGAAAAGTTTAGGGAATTCTTCGAACGGTGCAAATGCGTGCGGCACACAAGTTATGCACTTTTTGAGATTTGCGTCACGACTCTATGTGTATAGCAACGTTTTGAGCACGACATTGTGTATCAATCCGCGCATAGATAAATAGAGACGATCTCTCTCAGTACTACCAAAAGAAGAAGAATAAATTGACAACATCTATCTAGTAAACATAACTTGAATCAAACCGGGATAAAATATGTTCAGCGTTATCTCCAAGTAAGTTCTATACTGATAAACTTGGAAGGATTACACTGCTACTACGTCACCAATTTGGCAACGGTTGATTACTTCCCAAGTTCCTTGGTTACCTTCTACCCCACAGTGAACAAAGTACGGCTGGCGTTTTTTCTAGGTGCATCGAGACCAGACCAAGGACAGCCTTATTTTCATTCAACAGTTTTTGTTCCAGGGGGAGTGCGGTCCAGGCAAACACTCAAAGATGCGCGAGATTATGCACATCCAGGTCGGCCAATGTGGCAATCAGATTGGCTCAAAGGTAAGTGAGATGGACAGTGTTTATAAGAATGGTTCACACTAGTTCGAGAAACTAGGTATCGGCTTATACTTATGCAAGCCTTTTTCTATCATGATTTATTCGTCATATTATAACACATTTAAATCACTTTGGCTCCCTCTAGTGTGTTTAAAAGCTTTTACTGAATTAGAGATTATAATGTTATCCCAAGGCACGGAAACTATTATTGGCACGATTAGCATTGTAAAAATAACAGATCGATACCAATAGGCTTTTGTAAAAGCCTGGATGGCATTAAATTGACGTGTTGTCAAATGGTAGAATGTATTAAGGTTCTAAGATTGTAACTAAAGCCCCTAGAAACAGCGTCTATGACACTGCTTTAAACCCGTAAACAAAATTTCAAGCATGTCTATCGACACTTTATGCACCAAAAAGTAACGTTGACATGTGTAGAGATGACACTTCTGACAGATGGTGTCGCATGAATCATCCCTGCTTGTCATTCTCTCACAGTCACCACCAAAGAAACGTCAATACAGCAGAAACTGTTACAGTTGTGTTGTTTGCAACTGTCACAAAAAAAATATGAACCCACTTCACCTTGTCGGCCTGGTTGGTGATGTTTCTTGTTTTCTTTATTTAAAAATAAAAAAAAAAACATGGTTTGAACCGTTTCAGTTTTGGGAAGTTGTATCAGACGAACACGGCATTGACCCAACAGGAAACTATCATGGCGACTCGGACCTTCAGCTGGAACGCATCAATGTGTACTACAATGAGGCCGCAGGTACGCTACATGGCGACGTGTTACTGTTCAATTTTAATTGCTTAAAGAGATCTAACGGAAACAGTTTCGGCTAAAACTTATTTTTAAGGGGAACACATTTTCTTAGACTTTGAAACTGAGTCACGATATCTTCGCGTAATTGCCTTTCTTTCAAAATGTGGTCATCCGACCATAATTTGAGATGACGAAAGCCTTTGCATTTCTCGTCCCGCAACCACCACCCATGAATGCTATGCCCCAATATGAATGTCATTCCCTAATATGATTGCCAGCCATGTCCCGATATGATTGTCATGCCCCAATATGAATGCCATGCCCCAATATGATTGCTATGCCACAATATAATTGCCATGCCCCAATCTGATTGCCATGCCCCAATATGATTGCCCTGTCCCAATACGATTGCCCTGCCTCAGATTGAATACCATGCCCCAACATGAATGGCATGCCCCAATTTGAATACCATGCCCCAGACTGAATGCCATATTTATATGTGAAAGTGAAATATAAGCAAAGATTTGTTTAACATTCTTAAAACGATCTCTAAAACGTATTAAAAGTAAAGAGATGTTTAAAATGGTGCTAAGTGAAAGCCTTACATTGAAATTGGATATTTACCCACCAAAAAAATTAATTTCAAGACAAAGAAACTTTCCAAGGTTTACGTACTAGATAATATCTAGAGTCCAAGTAAGTTTATTCTAACTTATAGTACACACCTTTAATCCCGGTACATGTCTTAAGTCCAAAAAATTAGTTCTAAGTTTTATTACACATCTTAAATCCTGGCACATGTCTAAAATTCCAGCATAATTTACTCGTATGTGTAGTAGGCTACATACATACCATTAGTAACTACAAAAAAAAAGAAGTTGTCCAAAGATGAAGGTTTAATCATTGGCCAACAAACGCCCGTTGTTCAATGCAAATTATGTTCACTTCCTCAGGCGGCCGGTACGTCCCCAGGGCAGCGTTGGTTGACCTTGAGCCAGGGTCCATTGATTGGGTCAGGTCTGGTCGCTTCGGCACAATCTTTCGTCCAGATAATTTTGTGTCTGGCAAAGGGGGTGCTGCTAACAATTGGGCTAAAGGTCAGCATTGTTGTGTGTCTCATCCTTTATTATTAGCTGGTTACAGATGGCTGGACTCTCACGTCTGCTGGGTATGAAATGTGTCATGGGAATTAGCGTGATGTGGAAGGATCAAATGTCATCTCAATTCGACTATTTTAAAATCTTGGAAGTACATCAACTCGTGTTCGGCACTTAAATCTAGACAATGACACATCACCGAGAAGAAACTATAATAATTAAACCCTTAATCCAAACGGTACAGCCACTCAAATCTGGTTGGAAGATGGGAGGAAAAAATGTATATATTTTTTTCTTCTGAGTTTTTCAAAATATAGATTTGTTTTCAGAATGTTCGTCTATATGGGGTTAGGCAAGAAAAATGAATCCATGACATGTGTTCTTTCTTCCTTGTTCCTATAAGCTCCTATGCTCTACCTTCGTCGTTTATCCCCCAGGTCATTACACGGACGGCGCAGAGCTGGTAGACAATATTATGGAGATTGTTCGCAAGGAGTCCGAGCACTGCGACTGTCTGCAGGGCTTCCAGCTGACCCATTCACTAGGCGGCGGCACTGGATCCGGTCTTGGCACGCTCATCATCAGCAAGGTCCGCGAGGAATATCCGGACAGGATCATGTGCTCATACTCGGTCGTTCCGTCCCCAAAAGTAAGATTTTCACCTTTCTTACACTTGCCTAACTTAGTATGGTAGATTTTAGGAACCCGGTTATAAGTGATTGTGGTGGATCAAGAAAAATGCCTCGGAATTTTTTTAATTTTTTGTTTAAAAGGTGAGGTACATAGCAAGGTGGGGATGGTATAGTTGAATAGACTTTGAAATTAAAAGCAAGTCTAGAAAACAAAAGGTATAGAAAAATCAAGTTAATGTGTAGTAGTGTAGTAGCTATGCAATGTGCACGTTGAAATATGACAATCAATGTTCGTTGCTAAACATTGTAATACCACATGATATTATGTTGTGTTCGTAAATGAATGACCCACTGCCCTAATGAATTATGAATTTCCCACTACATTGTTGACTTCCCCCGCTGTCCCTTTGAATGTCCCACTACATTGATGAATTCCTCACTGGCCTGATGAATGTATCACTGCTTCGAATCCGCCTGAGATTAGAATGTACTTAATGTCTGAGCTAGTCTTTAAATTATCCATCAAATGATTATGTGAATATTTTTCATTACTTTACTAAATGACGATCCACACTGGTCTGATACCAAATAAATTGTCCATCCAAGGTATCTGATACTGTAGTGGAGCCCTATAACTGCACACTGGCTATTCATCTCCTTGTTGAAAACACTGATGAGACCTACATCATCGATAACGAGGCACTGTACGACATCTGCTTCCACACACTCCGTCTGTCCACCCCAACCAACGGCGACCTGAACCACCTCGTGTCCGCCACCATGTCCGGCATCACGACTTGCCTGCGCTTCCCCGGCCAGCTGAACGCAGACCTCCGTAAACTAGCCGTCAACATGGTTCCCTTCCCCCGTCTCCACTTCTTCATGACCGGCTTCGCTCCCCTGACCTCCCGCGGCAGCCAGTGGTACAGGAACCTGACGGTGCCCGAGCTGACGCAGCAGATGTTCGACGCCAAGAACATGATGGCCGCCTGCGATCCCCGACACGGCCGCTACTTGACAGCGGCGACTGTGTTCAGGGGAAAGATGTCCATGAAGGAAGTGGACGAGCAGATGTTGAACGTTCAAAACAAGAACAGCCGGTACTTCGTGGAGTGGATTCCCAACAACGTCAAGACGGCCGTTTGTGACATCCCACCCCGTGGCCTTAAGATGTCCGCCATATTCATGGGCAACAACACAGCGATGCAGGAGCCCTTTAAACGGGTGGGTGAACAGTTTTCCGCCATGTTCCGCAGACGGGCTTTCTTGCACTGGTACACAGGTAGGCAGATACACACACACACATATATATATTTTGTCATTTATAAAATTGGTGGTAGGTATCTCGTAATGAGGTTAAGGTAGACATACCCATAGCCTTATGGGTGCAAGATAAATCCGGATGTTAAGTTTAATGAGCAAACTCTAAAGGATTTGTGTGAAAAGATGCACCTGTTTAAAAACAACCTTGACTTTGGATAACTTAACCTTCAATGGTCGGTAGTAAAATAAAGCACACATTAATAATATTTGATATCTATATCTAAGTTCAGCATTAGTTTCGTTGAAGGTATAAATGCTACAATTTCCCTGCTTTACATAATTGGCCAATTTGTAAAATATTCAAATATAAAAACTAAAACTGTTCTGAAAACTTAAAACTATACCCCTGCCAGGTGTAGCTAAGGACCATTGAACTTCTCCCTGCAAGTTGTAGCTAAGGACATTTGTTCAAATTTATAGAGTTTCAAAAGATGATCCACCATTGAATCACACCACTTGCAATTTTATCGTAAAACTTTAAAATGGAATCCCCCGTTTCCAAAGACGATGTTGTAATCTCGTTGGAAACCAGCGAAGCCTGAGTGTGGTGTTATAAAACATTTTATGTCCAATCATCCGTTGCCGTATTAACCCGTGGCAGGGCCCCTTGGCCTTGAGTTTCTTTGGGCTCCTTTAAAAATATGAAATTTTACATTACGCACCAATGCCGTGGCATTGCTAAAGGTTGCTTGGGACCCCTGCTCTTGGTGGTCCTAGGCTTTTAGCCTAGTCAGCTTTATGGGTACTTCTGTCGTGCCATCAGCTTATTCCTCCACCTTCGCCATGCGGCTGTTTGAAAAAAAAATGTTTGTCCTTTTCTTGTATACTGAAATCAACATGAGATTCATTTAATATCCCAACAGGTGAAGGCATGGATGAAATGGAATTCACCGAAGCCGAGTCCAACATGAGCGACTTGGTGTCAGAGTACCAGCAGTATGAAGAGGCAACAGTTGAGGACGGAATCAACTTCTACGAGGAGGAGGAGGAGGAGGCGTAATAAAGAAACCCTCTCGGATGTCGTGTGGCATCTTGACCTTTGCCCCCAGTGACCTATGCCTATCTCGTGGCTATTGCTACCAACTGATGTACATCACAGAGCCACAGTTAACATCAACAAAAATATATATTTTTATAAAAGAAGATAATGATTCATAAGAAATAACAAGCCATCTGTTACAATATTGAATAGATTAACGTGGACCTGAACTAGCCCCCCCCCCCCCCCCCAAGATTGATCAGAATATAGTCTTCAGTGACTGCTTTTGCTAAGCACTTAACTGTCTTTCCAGAATATGTCCCTTAGCCAACGTGTTGCCATTGAATTAAGTAGTTTTAAGAAACCTGCATGTGGGATTTGAGGGGAGAATTTTCTTTGCATTTTTTACTTGAGATTTCTGGTGCTACTATTAGCAGAGCGATATCAAGACACACATACAGCATGACGTCTAATGTCACGCAATACCACAACAGGATAACCGAGCCATCAAATCCAATACCACAACAGGATAACCGAGCCATCAAATCCAATACCACCACAGGATAACCGAGCCATCAAATCCAATACCACAACAGGATAACCGAGCCATCAAATCCAATACCACAACAGGATAACCGAGCCATCAAATCCAATACCACAACAGGATAACCGAGCCATCAAATCCAATACCACCACAGGATAACCGAGCACCTGAATGACTCGATCCCATCATGCAAGTGTTTTGTGCCTAGCTAATAAAAACCAAAATAAATCACTTCCTGTCTGAAACCAACCAATGTTTAGGATTTTATTGGTCATCATTTATTTCTATTCTTCAAAATGTCTTGTCTAGTATAAAATCAAATGAAGACCCAATAAAAAAGAAAATCAACATCATACTCAAATGTTTTTACAAATTTATTGTCGTAATAAATCGGTAGTTCACTAAACTCATTTATTGCAAGAAATTAAGGATGTCTCTAGTTTGAAATTAATGAATGTATCCCAAAGTTTGCACCGGAAAGTCATTGTTTGTTGTTGTTTTTTTCATATACTTTGACACGCCAGTCTTTGTAAAGAAATTAATGTCCACATTTGTTGATTAAAAGTCAACATTCCTTACGTTTTTAAAATGGTGGAGATTTAAAAAAAGAAAGGAAAAAGGTATCCTTCTGAACAAAGTATGCGACTTATGTTGGGAATGAATACATGAAACAAGTAGTGCGTAACCCAGAGAACGTTCGACTATGATGAAAAAATTGGTAAACTGTTTATTTAGCTTAGAGAGTAGCTTTTGACGACTGAACAGCTACGAATAGCTCAAATAATGATGGACACACATACTTTAAAATACTGGGACAGGCAGACACGCTGATATATACATCATTTCATTCAATGTGGCGTTTTTATAAAATCCCCCAGAATTAGTGAAATATTTTTATTTGAAAAAAAATTTTGGAGCTAAATGGCCCTTTTTAAAAAATTATTTTAAATTCTTTTTTTTTCTTAAATTCCCAGTCCAATTTCAATTGCCATCAAAATAACACAAACTATGTATCAGTCTTACACAGCTTAGATCAAAGAAGCAGTCGTAACAATAAAAACAAAGGTTACTTCAGTCATTCCGTGCAGGTTGGAAGTGCATTTTCGAGGATTTTTCAGATACACTGTTGAGAGTTTTCTTTAAAGGAAAGTTGTGCTTGTAAGGCCAATGTCTTCAGAAACCAGGTATATTAAAACATTCCAACCTCTCTAAACAAGAATCTCAGGCGTTGTCTGCGTTACGTAAACGTAACGACATTGTGATCAAACGTGCCGACAAGGGTGGCGCTGTCGTGGTTTGGGACAAAAATTTATATATTAAGGAGGTTGATAAACAATTGAAGGATGAAAGATTCTATAAGCCCCTCAAGAATAACCCTATAGTTCAACATAATGATATTGTGTATCAAACAATAAAAAAACTTATTAACGAATCAGCACTTCCAAAATCGGCCTCATCGTTACACATTTTTAATAGTGACCTTGGCAAACCTTCTTTCTATTTGCTGCCTAAAATTCACAAAGTGGGCAACCCGGGACGACCTATTGTCTCGGCCTGCGCTTGCCCTACCGAACACATTTCAGAATTTCTTGATGAAGTCTTCCAACCCTATGTTACCTCTTTACCCTCCTACATTAAAGATACAAATCACGCTTTAGTGACATTCAATTCTCTAAACATCAACCCTGACACAAAACACTCACTGTTTTTACTTGATGTCTGCTCCTTATACACATCAATCCCACATGCTGACGGCCTTAGGGCCTTGAAATTTTTCCTAGAAAAAAAAACCGCACTCCTCTATTCCTACTGACACTATCATCAGATTGGCTGAACTGGTACTTGAACTTAACTCCTTTGAATTTAATGGCCATTTCTTTGACCAAATTAGTGGTGTAGCCATGGGCACCAAAATGGGCCCCAGCTATGCTTGCCTATTCATGGGTCATTTTGAATATATGGCAGAGAGGGCGTATACTGGCCATATTCCTGAATTTTATAGGAGATACATAGATGACGGCATAGGCATCACAAGCATGGAAACTAATGATCTCCAGAAATTTATAGATTTTTTAAACTCATTTCACCCATCAATAAAATTTACTTCTCAAATCTCTGGACATTCTGTCAACTTCCTTGATATCACCGTAACTTTGAAAGAAAACGTATTGATTACATCTGCCTACTACAAACCTACTGACAGCCATAGTTACCTATTGTACTCATCCTCCCACCCTAAATCATGCAAAGACTCCATACCTTTCTCACAACTTCTTAGACTACGGCGTCTCTGCCAAATTGATGAGGAATTTCTAGAAAGAGCCGATGAAATGATGGATTTCTTCCGCTCCAGATCCTATCCTGAAACTACTCTGGTCTCAGCACTAGATCGCATCAGCACGATCACACGAAAAGAGGCTTTTAAAACTCGCCCTAACAACAATGAGGATCGTACCAAACTTATACTAACCTACCACCCTCACAATTTAACTGCCAAAAAAATATTCCTAAAAAATCGTAGCATACTTCTTGCTGACCCTGATACCAACAGGGTTTTCTCATCCCCTCCACTGATTGTCTTTAGACGGGACAGAAATCTAGGTGATCTTCTGGTTCATAGTCGCCTTCGATCTGAACCGTCTTACGTTGGTACTAAACCATGCTTAAGAGGCCGCTGCAGAACTTGTCCCTTTACACTCCAAACTGATAGCATTGGCCTCCCTAAAGGTACTTTTACCATTAAGGAGGGTTTCACCTGTGTCAGCAGAAATGTAATATATGCGATTGTTTGCCGTAGATGCCAATCAAGTTACATAGGGGAAACTGGGAGAAGATTGGCTGATAGGTTTACTGAACATCTAAGGGATATTGAGCAATGTAAACCTTCCCCGGTCTCTTCTCATTTCAACCAAAAAGAACATAAAGGTGCTTTGGATGTAACCATTACGGCATTGATTTCATGCAGTAACACACCAGATAGGGTTAAAATGGAAAATAAATTTATTCAGCTGTTTGGCACCATATCTCCATATGGTATTAATCAAATAATATCCTACTGATGTTTCTCCGTCTCCCTATATTTCATCTATTTTCTTATTGCTGTTTGTTGATGTATCCCTTGATATTCTGGCCCATTATTATTGTGGACTTTATTTTTCACGGTGTCAATATTTATTTTCTCTCGCTTCCTGTTTTCCCACTTCCGGAGAGACGAATGAATACTGCTTGAGTTTTCTACTGTGTTCTTTTCTTTGTTGTATTTTCATTTCTATTGTTGGCTGATGAAGGCTTTATGCCGAAACGTCCTTGTTTTTTGTCCTGTTACCTTATTTCAAGCTTCCACATACCTCGTTTCACTATTTCATTCTTTTATATTAAAACGGAGTGGCTATAGGTACCTGGGTACCTATAGTAGTAATTGGCTATTCGGACCCGGCTGGTCACGTGAGGGCTTTATAATATTTGGTTGGTCACGTGACGGTTATGACGAATACTTCCTGTTGGGTTGCCATCTAAGAGAGTCGAGAGCCATTACTATCAATCGAGAAATGGGCCATATTTTGAAGATTTTCATGAACCGGTAGCTTTGAAGACACTCGAAGAACAATGTGACGTAATCTAAAAGCAAGTAAGAATACTTTTATGTTTATAATTTTATTGTATTTTTTAATTCTATTTTAAATATAGTTCTATAGATAATCTACCACTAGAGTAGAGCGTCGGCCAAGAAAAAATCCAGCAACCACGTCTTTTCAATTTTGCTCTAATAAGCCACATTCTTTGTGCACTTAAACAATCTAATCGATTTTTGAAACCTTATACTTATACAAGAAGACATACCTCATTAACTTCACTTGACTCTATCAAAACAATATTTAATTGATACAGCATAGACTCTGCACAAAACCAACTGCTACTTTAATAAGAAGAGTACCAAGTAGGTTGGAGAACTAGTGAAAAATACCAACTTAATTATACTAATTATAAATGGCTTGCATTAAGTCCATTAATTTTTAACACTTCAGGTTGCAGCAGGATACAGTCTGGGAGCCTCTGTCCTAGTCAATTACATGCCATAATAAACACATATCTTTACATTTTCTCTTGTCTTAACAACAGGTACTTAAAACTTACTAAACTTAGGCTTAGTGGCTAAGCTTAGAAGAATAGACTTATAAATTATAGTTAAATTGTAGTTGTAGGTCTAGAAATAGTTGGTGGAAGCAAACTTATATTAGATTTTATTTATATTTTCGATTTCTGTATTCTAAAATGACAATTTACTTAGATTTATTCAGATATTAAAAGATTATGGAATATTTAAACTCTCTTTTGACTGATACCGAGAGCGAATTTCGTTTCCGGTGAAGATACAAAATATGGAGAAATTTATTTTTTCCCTCCGGTGATGAGAGCGTGATGAAAATAAGAAAGGTTTATATTAACCTAGAAAATAGAATATGGACTATTTCAAAGTTATTCCCCACCCCATTTGAATGCTTAACCTAACTCCTTTTTAAAGGTTTTAATGTCATTTTATAGCTAAAACGGAGTATTTATACATTTTTATAGCTTACCGTACCGTCTAAGTGACACAAAAAAAGAACAGAGATAAAGCAAGTTGGTCTAAAGATATGTGCGTCACCGGAAGAATAATATTTATCGTAATTGATGACAAAATAAATGTACAAATGGGAAACTGACGTAAAACGCATAAATCCGAGGTCACCGTAGATGCGATTGTAAGATGGCCATTTCAGTTTTTGCGTCTTTTTTCCATATGCACAAACTGAATGCGCAAGCGTTTATTGAAATGCCTACTTTGAATGCACTTTATATAAAGATAAATCCCGCAAGTGCATGTAAAAAATATCAAAAGACTATTGGAATGGTTAGTTTCACTGATTAGGTTAGGGTAAAGTCTTGCACATTCCTAATTTAATTAAAATTAGATAAAAATCCCTAAAAAATCTAAATTTCCTTCTGACATATTGAGTGCATTTTTGCTGTAAAAGTAATGATTAAAAAATTCAAAAGAGCTATTTAGATGGATTGCTTCTTATATTTAGATTCATCAGTCGCTATAGCATATATTTTTTTGGTTAAAATCATAGTAGTAATAATCAAGAGTTACATCTTGCAGGTTAGAATTATATTACCATTGATCTATGACAAAAAAAATCTTATTTAAATTTTTAAAGATTCACTACTGTAATGCAGTTGTAGTTAAAATCTTGCACTGAGCTTGACGTGACCATTTTGAAGGTTTTCTTTTGTTCATTTAACACCACCTCCCTAATTCCAATAGTGGTTGGACTTTAACTATTTAATAGATTAAATAAACAAAGCTATTCAACTTTCCCTTAGAGAACCAGGAATTTTTTGTCGAAACAC